TCCCAAAATACCCATACATGTTATATGTTTTACACTATGATATGTGAATCGCATGCTAGATTAGGACAAAGAATCTGCTCAGGATTTCATGATAGTATTTTAGGAGAGATGCCTTTATGTGCCTATTATATGACCTTATGGATCTACATGCTATTATGAGATCAGTTATCAGATAGGATGTCTTGTTTAGGCTATCTCCTGGCTTGAATTGCTTGATGCATGAATGTTGCATGCTTTGTGCTTTTAGGGAATTTTATTAGTAGCAACTAACTAGTGGATGAATGTGTTTGGTTACATATTGTTGAAATTGGATTACTTTAGAAGGATAGGTTAAACTCAATTGTGCAGCTCTTGTTTGAGTCTAACCATTGTAGTGTGGGACCTTTCATTCAAAGAATTATCTAGTATTGATAGTATGTAATTGTATTCATGTAGTACTTGGATGGTATTAGTGGGAGTTCATTTTGCAGGTGATAGCAGAGTGTGGTGAGAAAAGGAACCCTAGTACGTCCTTAGAATATTGAGTGGTACGTAGGATACCTTATAGTATGAGGAGAGTATTAGATGGGAAAGAGTGGCTTTGAGGAGTCGAGGTAGTCCTTAAGGAGGGTATAAATAGGTTTTGAAGGTATTATTGGGCCCATACCACTGGAAGCATAGGATTTATACCTGAGAACATAAAGACCACGATAAATCTAAGAAGCTCGAGCGTGTGAATCTCTTTTGTATTTACTAGATTGTTTATGTGGTTATGCTTCGGCATGGTGGTGACACACAATGGAGCAGGGGGTTTTGGATCTGGATCTAGCTCAGGAATAGGCACTGAACCAATTGATGAGGGTTTACGCAAGTTCATTGCATCATAGGCTAGAGGTATCCTTGATGTGACCCCGGTGATGTTTGGGTCGATCAAGGAGGGTACCATGGAGATGATGGAGGATCACCTTCATATCTTTAGAGATGATTTGGCTGATAGCCAATCTGAGCTTGCACTCTCTCATTTAAGGATTTCAGGGGATGTGGGGCACCAAAATTCTTTGGGGTGAAGCACCTCATTTTCGCCAGGCATTGGCTAGAAGATATTGAGTGTGCCTAAATGACGAGCTTATGTTGTGAGAGGTCGAAGGTGAGGTTCGTTGCAGGATGTCTAAGGGAGCAAAATTGAGATTATTGGGAGGAGGTTGGCTATACCTTGGGATCCCTAACCATTGAGGCCATGACCTGATCAGATTTTGAGACCCGGTTCCGAGCGGAATTTACACCAGCTATTGAGGTATAACAACTAGTTGTAGAGTTTCTGGATACGAGACAGACGACTGCATAACTGGGACCGTGGCGAAGATCAGTGCCAAATTATGAGAGAGACCTTTATTGGACCTTAGTACACAACAGGTGGGGAGATGAGGAAGACCCGGTACCATGACATGCTAAGACATGATATCAGGGTGTTCATTATTTTTTCCGCCTACATAACTCTGAACAACATGATATCCAGGGCCTGGGAATGGGAGATGGATTTGGAGCACATGGGGAAGAGGAAGGTAGAGCATGGGCAGACAACTAGGGTTTCAGAGAAGAAACCCAAGGGGTTCGATTCTACATCGAAGGGCCAGTAGGTCCAAATCAGTTGTTGCAAGTGTGGGAGGGCACATGATGGAGTCTGTAGAGCGAGTGGTTCAGGCTGCCACAAGTGTGGCAATACAGGGCATTTCAGTAGGGATTTCACTGTTACTACCACCACAACCTAGACTTCAGATCTAATTTACTTCCATTGCAATCAGGGGGGCTACAAGAAGGATAAGTACCCAAGTTTAGCATTAGGAGGACAAGTTTCAGCACCTATTCATGTGACTCAAAGGATCAGTGATCGCCGCCAGGGCAAGGCGGAGGCGCCAGTTGTTCGAAGCATGACATTTCAGCTGACAGCCAAGGAGGCTTATGTAGCACCCGATGTGGTCACGGGTATGTATCTTCTCCCCACCTTCTTATTTATATTAATTGTTATGCTTATATATGGTATTGTTGTTTAGCTTTGTTCCTTGTGAATGGTATTCCTGCATTGGTCTTATTTGATTTGGGGGTTACCCAATCTTTTGAATCTTTGGCGCTTAACATAAGGTTTGATGATGTTTCGGGAGAGTTTGATTATCCACTAGAGGTTTAGATTGTTGATGACCTTACAGTGCGAGTGTTGAGGGTTCACCGGGGATACACTTTTTAGTTATTTAGTGAGAAACATTTGATTGATTTGGTTCTAATTCCCCTGTGCGAGAGCAAGGTCATTGTGGGGATCGATTGGTTGAGCCCCAATGGGACGATGATTGGTTGTAGCATTCAATTGTTATGTGTTTGGACCCTAAATGGAGGAGGGTTGGTGATCCACAGTGAGGATGCTTAACATGTTGGGTTATGAGCATTCTAACACTCCTAAGTGTACATGCAACCCTAAATACCTTGGATCTATTCTAGCATACTAAACGTTGAATAACACAAGTTAGAATAACATACCTTTTGTTAGTGCTTGTCTTCATGAAGCTTGAGTGCCTAGTGCCCCAAGTGTGACACCTCAAATGGTTCACACAACACCATAAACACTTGGAATAACTTAGAGAGAATTCTACACTTCATGAAATCGGCTAGCCCTCTCTAGAATCATACTAGTGTCGATTTTGTCAAGAATAATATCTTTATATAGTGTTACAATTAGGGCAAACCCTAATTGTCATGATTTTCCATTTCCTTGGATCCATGGGTTCAAATACACCATGGAGCATCCATGGAGTATCATATGGGTTTTGGCCCAACTAGATAATCCATGGAGCATTAGCCCACTATACAAGTATGGATGATTTACACAATCAACCCATATATTTAATTAGTCTTCTTTTGATCACTTAATTAATCCTAGATTAATTCTTGATCAATACTAGTTAAATAATCTTATTATTCTTATTATTAATATACTAGAACTTATAATATATTAATAACCATAAGTGTCTTATTTCTCTCATTATAGTCTATCCAAGTGCATGATGCCATGCAACCCAAATGGACCATGCCGGGTCGGGTCAAGTCTTACCAATTATAGTTATGGACTTAGACATTAATCCAACAGTGTCCCACTTGGATAAGTCTAAAACTATTATTGCGTATGACTTCAGGAACCAACTGGCAATCGTAGCTCTCAAAAGCTTCTGTCGAACTTTGACCTTGTCGATAAACTCTAACCTTTTTCAATGACTTGTCCATTAGATAAGGGATCATATATTCCTCCATTCTAGATATCATATGGACTGAGACATGGATTATAATCATTCTCTCTGTCCATTTGTTGTTTCCCGATTTCCGATTTATGACGACTGACTAATTGAACAAATCAAATCAGTCCTGGCCCGGCCAAGCACTTCCATTTGTCATCATCAAATCATCGAGGGGCCCACAGATATCGCTTTTATCCTGAAGGTAAAAGGAATGGATAAACTTCGACTCATATGGCTTGTTCTACTACTTGTTGAATCATACACAAAAACACGTTTTATAAAATCGAGTTACCAATGCGTTTTCGTGCAATCAATGTACTATCAACTCATAGTAACAACTCATATCTCTAGGTTTGACACTACTAGAAAACAGACCTTTAATGATGCGCTTTTTATGACGCGCACTGATTAATGATACGCAAAAGGACGTGCCCTTAAAATAGTGTTATCTCTCCAAAAAATTTAAGGATTTATGTCACGCATTATTGCGTGCCCTTAATTTAGTGTCTCAAGAAAAAGAAAAAAAACATGGAGGGCACTTTATCTTAAACGCGCGTCGTCTGTACCTGTCGCTTTATAATTTTAATGAAACGCGCATTTAGTAGACGAGGGGGGAAACGAAATCCCCAAAATTTTGAAAACCCGCCTCGTTTTTCCTATCTTCTATCTATCTTTCATCCTTGCAATCCACTCTCCCCTTCTGATACTCTCTCCTTTAGATCTCCCTTCATTCTCTACCTCCCGTCTCTCTGTAAACCCTAAGCCATCGCCACCTCCCTTCTCTCTAGCATGTGTTAGGGTTTTATTTTCTTTCAAGCTTCCGCTTCTCTCGTTTTCTCTCAACCCAGTACGTGCGAGGGTTCGGAATAAATGAGCGAATTCAAACAATCAATCTTCCATTTCAACTTCTTTCAACTCTGGATCATCGGGTATTTTTCAGATTCCTTTTCCGGTTTTGTTAACTTTTGAAATTGGAATGGGACCCGTTCTTTTCTACTTCAATACTCTCGATCTCAAACGGCTTTTCTTTTTCTACTTCATCTTCTTCTACTTCTTCTAACAATGGTGGTTCCTGCTCAGGGGTAACCTCGGCAATATGCAATTTAAAAACCCCAAATAAGTTGAATTTTTAGGTATAGGGTTCTTTATCTGGAAGCACAAGGCCATCTGCAATCGATTCAGCTAATCTGAGCTCACAGGTATAGGGTTCTCTATCAATCATCTATCTTTTTCTCCCTTTACATTAATGACTTGAAATTCCACATTTACTAAATTACACGTTAGTTTTTTTACAGCGAGTGCAACCTTCTCCATTCCTAATGACGTATTTCATCTCCTTAAAATTGAAGTTGCAGGTTTGTGTCTTCTACATGCTGTCTTTGCACGATCTATGAATAGTTTGCCATTGTATTTCATCTTCATCTTCTTTATCATTGCATCATGTCTACTCTGCTTGCAATCCTTATTCTCTTTGATTGGCTAGGGTTACGAGCTCTTGAACTATGGAATTTGGGGTTACCTAATTTTAGCAAAATGTTTTGATATTTTTTATTTTTTATGTAAGGTAAATGGTAACATCATAGGTAGCTTCAAAATTTCGATTGAGAAATATAGAAATTGAAGAGGAGTGATGGTTGCATCTTATTGAAATTCATTTGCAACTAAGGTATTAGTGGAAGATGAATCGATGGATTACTGAAAAGGTTTCTCTACTTGGAAACAAGACAAAATAATAGGAATATGTTACTGCCTTGGGTTTATCTTGGTATCTTAGTAAGTCTGTGGGCTTATGCTTGTGGTGTTGATTTCTGCGAGTATCTTGTTGCAGGGCGGTAATGGTCAGTTTTTTCTGTTGCTAGTTTTGCCATTTTTAAGCATATTCCTTCCAGATTCTGCTTGGTGGGTGGGGGTTTAATTCTTTTGTTTTCTTTTTGTTTATCCTTGTATTGTCTCTGTATTGCCTTTCACTCTGAGCTCATGGCTAGGGGTATGTTTTTTTAATGAAATTGTTCCCATGTTGCTCAAAAGAAAGTTTGTTTATGCGTCTTACAGTGTTAAAAATTTAGTCTTTGCAAATGAGTTTTAAGCAATGAACATTTTCAAACTCATGTGCATCTCTTTCTCGTGTCATCTACGTGTATATGAGTAGGGTAACTCCATTTTTTCTTTTCAACTTTTGACAACTTTCTTATCTATTGTTTGTTCCAAATTAATTAGTACCCTCATCTGATCCATGTTCAGCTGGAAAAAAATATTTTGATTGAGAATAAGATGAGGTCAATAACAATAACAGGGAACTCGGTGACCTGTCTAAATTGAAACAATAAAAAATAATGGATATGGAAAAATTACCTTCAACAACTTTGAACTATAATGGATATGGAAAAATTACCTTCAATCAAACTTCTAGAAGTAAATGTAGGCTGTAGAGAATTCATGTTTCTTTTAAATGCAGGCTGATACACTAGAAGAATTGCATGGTAATATAATTAATGATAGGAGTCTAGTGATATGCAAACTCCAATAAGTCAGGGGAATGCATAGTTGTTCAAGGATTTAACTACTTTTGGTGTTTTTAAAGCTGAATATGCCACATTTTACTTCACAGGTATTTTCTTTCTACAATTTCCTGATGTAATCCAGGATTATAATGAGTGCATAAATAGATGCAGAAGCTCTTGATTTCTTGTTTCTGTTCCTTTATGCTTCTGAATATTAGCTACGAGAAGAATGTCAATCTGATTTTTAAAATGTGTTGATTAGATGGTGAACATAGAATGAGATGAAAAGTCTAATGCAAAATATCGTTTGAGGTCTGAAAGGGCTGTTGTTCAAAGAGCACAAGCTGATGCACGTGAGTGGGCAGCTATTGATGCAAAGGGAAGGGCAGAATGGGCAGCTGGGGCATGTCAACGATATGAGGTCATTCCTTTGTCTCCAAACAGTGGGTTAATTGAGTGGGTCCCTAATTGTGACACCCTTCACCAACTCATTTGAGAGTACAGGGATACCCTCCACCCTCCACTTCAACGATATGAGGTCATTCCTCTGTAACATTCTAACTCATTTCCTACATTTTTTAATCTTGATTCCATTTTTTTAATATAGGTTATTTACATGTGTTTTATTTTTTAAATGAACAACTGATATGTGGTGGAAAAAGTTACTATGGTGCCATTCTATGTTGTGCCTGGAGGTAATAAAATTACAAAAGTCATTCTTACATAATCTTTTATCAAGTGAAAAAAATCTTGATTTAATTTAATTAATCAGTTCGGATGGGAAATACATTTTGTCTGGTGGAGAAGATGTTCTACATTTCCAGTAGGTAAATCCATAGAATAATGATGTTTAATTAAATTACTCAGGTTTGGCTGCATCTCTATCCCTTTTGTGAGCATATTGATGACCCCCAAGTGCTTGTGGGCTGTAGAACTTCCTCTTAAAGCTGTCAACAGTGAACATTTCAATCTGTGTTGTGTTGACTTGAAGAGTGATCTGTTAAGAAAAAAAGCTATTTTTAGGAAGCCTTGAAATGCATTCTGGTTTTACAAAAGTAGTTGTTGGTAAGTTTACAAAATTACACCATTTATAATATTTTTCAATTTTGGTTAAATTCTGAATGAAGACTTTGACACAGGTCAACTATAGGACCTGGTGATCCTAGTTACAAACCTTCAAAAAGAAGAAAAGGATTGATGGTGTTTGCATGTGATGCTTTTGATCTTCCCATTCGGAAGGAAATTATCCACCGTGTTGTAAGATGGCAGCTTGCAAAAAGACAACAGGTATTTTTTTCATGAATTTAGAAACTTACTTATTCTAGAATTTTATATCTTCCTCATTTGTCTTAACCAAAAAGGTTAGAATCTCTCGTTTGTGAAAAAGACACGAATGCCCTCATCCTCACTGAATTGTTGTAGAAATACTCTTCAGTTTTATATAATATTGAGTTTCTGTTTATGGGCATTTTTGTAATTTGCTTTTTTTTTTATTTGATTTCAGCTCCCAAAAGTATTGGGACATAACATAGCAGAGAGGGTTTTGTTGGATGCTCCTTGTAGTGGTGTTGGGATAAGCATAAAAGCTTTATATGGTTTTTAGTTTAATAAGAAGATTTTTTTATTTATTTATTTTTAATGATTTTTACAGGTTATATCTAAAGATGAATCTGTCAAAACCTCTAAAGCTGCTATTGATGTACAAAACTTCTCACGTCTACAAAAGGTACCCAAACGCTTTCTATCAATTAATTTAATTAGATCACTTATGTATGGTTTTCAGTTTTACATCACTTATGCAATTATTCTTGTAAAATTTTATTAACTATTTTAAGCAACTTATGTTAAAATTTTAAATATGTTGATTTGCAGGAATTAATACTTGCAACAATTGACATAGTGGATGCAAATTCAAAAACAGGGGGTTATTTGACGACTGAATATTTATTTTCAACATCTTTTATTTGAGTCCTTGTGATATTGCAGAATGAAGATGTTATAGACTATGCACTGAAGAAGAGGGATGTGAAACTTGTGCCATGTGGACTAGATTTTGGACGCCCAAGGTATCTATTTATTATTATTTTTTTTAAAAAAAATTGATGAATATATTTGTGTCTAAAAGAATTTGTATTATTCTTTTGAAGGTTTGTTCGATTTAGAGAACGTAGATTTCATCGATCTTTGGAAAAGACAAGACGTTTCTACCCTCATGTCCATAACATGGATGGTTTTTTTGTTGCAAAGGTATCACATTACTTTTATTAATTTTTTTTATTATTGCATCATTGAAAGTATGATAAACCCTAATTGGATTATTTGATATTGTAGTCGAAGAAAATGAGTAATTCAAAGGGAGTTTTGCAGCTTTTGAATACTAGGATATTTGTGTCTAGGATTGAACTGCACATGCACTCTTCTGGTAGAATTTACTAGAATTATATGTACAATATATAACAGTCTCCCATTTGGTAATGAATTGTTGCTTCCAAAACAAAAAAAAAACTATCATAACATGTCAAAATCAATTGCTAAAGCAACCATGTGTAAGTTTTACTTGCAAACACAGTTTATTAGACCACAAGAGTAAGCTTCAAATTGATCATAAAGTTGAGTAATATATAGCAGTCTCCCATTTGACTTTTTTTAGATTCTTTATGATTTGTATTTAGTTTAATCTTCTAGCCAAACCAAATTATCCTTGAAAGGAGTTAGTAATGATCATCATTTTTGGCGCATCTTGTGAAATTGTTCATAGCTGGGCTGTTAATGTTCCTATTTGTTTTCATTTATGCAGGTAACAATCTTGTTGAAAGGACTTATGAATCAGATGTTAATGGTAACAAGTTTAACACTCGAGTCCATACGATTAGATGTTAATGGTAACAATTTTAACACGTGTCTTTGTTATACATACAGATTAAATGCAATTGATTGTATTTTTTTGTATATGGTATTTTATTTTATATTATGCAATGGATTGTATTTTTTGTATATGGTATTTTATTTCTATTATGAGAGATTAAATGCAAATTTAATTTATAAATTAATAAATATATAAATATATTTTTTAAAAAAAAAAATTAAAATTACGTTACGCAAAAATGTGTGTCGTCTTCATTTATGACATGGCCTTTCTTGACTGGGGCTTCCTTGATACGCATTGCGTGTCATAAACACGCGCGTCGTAAGGTTACGACATGCAAATGCGTGTCGTCTTCCTTTATGACAGGGCCTTCCTTGATACGCATTGGGTGTCATAACCGCGCGTCGTAAATGCGCATCATAAATGCGCGTCGTAAATGCGCGTCGTCTATAGACGACGCACAAAAGCGCGTCGTCTCTCTTTATGACAGGGCCTTCCTTGACGCGCATTTGCGCGTCGTCTGAGCGTTTTACGACGCGCAATGAGCGTCGTAAAAGGCCTTTTTTCTAGTAGTGTGAAGAATATAAGATATTATCGTCTCATGATCACTCGTGATAAAATCCATGAAGTGATTCCAATGAGCGCGGGTTGAATCCAATACTCAGAACTTGTGAGCACTCATGAGTGTTGTAGCCCTTTGTCCAACACCTTAGACCTCTACAAGCCAACCCATGACAGTCTTAATTCATATCTACTTCCAACATATAACCGACTGTGGATGGTTTGAATAACTTTGTCATTCCGGAATAATAACCTAGTTTATTCGGGAAGTCAAAACATGCAAAATGAAACACAATAATAATTGAATCCAATATGGTATCAAAACCTATGAACATAAATAAAACACATTTTATTTATCACCATATGATTACACATTATTCATTGTATACTGTTTCAGCTGTCAACTTAATTCTTGAATTTAAAACAATAGTTGTCCCATGCTCCAAGCATGTACACTATGTTTTCTAAACACTAGTCATGCCATACACCAAGTATGCATACTATGTTTGTCTATGATCTTTACTTTGTGAACTAGATCGTTGAACATAACTTCAATGATTCTCTTTTCACACTCCCAAATCCTTACTGTAAATACAAGAATTCCAAATTCATGTCATTTACTGAAATCTGTTAGATTCTAAACTTATATGCATTGATCCTCTTGTAATGATTATGCACAAATTCACAAGACTTGGCAACAATCATTACAGAGTATTCCAAAGGAGATCAACTCCTTGCATTAAGTTTCCTAATCTTAAACAGATTGAAAATTCTAACTTTGAAACATTTCCAGATTCCATTTTGACTATCACTTCTGAACAAGAGTTGCCTCCTTACAGATTATGTCAATATGGTCCTTCCAGAATTATCACTATACTTCCAACTGTCCTTGAGCAACCAATCTTTGGTAAACCTTAGATTGTCCTCGACAATTGTTTAATCCTTTTAGTCATATCCAGTTCTAAACCTTTTCCCTTCTTAATGCCCCAGCATTTGGAAACTTTTAGAAAGGATGAATATAGCACATGTAATCGATCCTATATCCGAAGCATATGGGACACGATTCATGATGTCTCACATAAAGACTAAACCAGTCTTTTGCTATAACATTTCCATTTCTATTTGCCAAGTTCTCATAATTCAGATTATGAAAAGGGATGCCGTAATCATAATCGAATTTTAGAACGCAAATAATGGACCCATATACAGAATTTCCTTATGTTGAGCCATTCCAACATGAAATTCATATATATCCTTGACTAAATGATTAAAACCTCACGATCTAAGCTATAGATTTGAGATGAAGTATAATTTCCTCTCCCTTAATTATAGCAAAACAACTCTTTCCCAGTTGAAACTTTTGTTTTCTATAATTAACATTGCTAACTTGCAATACTTATCATAATTATCATGCTCCCACTAACATGATGATTATTAGCATAACACTTATGCTCCCACTAGCTTTGACATGTACTCAGAAAGCTGACTTCTAGAAATCAATACTTTATTGACTTTCTTACCAAAGTTCAGATTTCTGATACTAGATTGTTTTGATAAACTTTATCAAAAACATACACCTTCCCTTAGATAGCACACTTGTGTGTCTAAACAATTATGAAGAGGGATGCCGTAATCATAATGGTTAGACCTTTTTGCCCTTCTCACAAGTCCAGGTTAGTGTGCCGGTAAACCACACACGCTCCACTAACGACTTTGAGAATGCAAATATCACAATTGCTATCTAACTAAAATCTACTTAGTGAAAGTGTTTCCTCACCATCATTTTCATGAATCGGAGAGAAACCTTATGACACTTAGATTTAATGGTGTATGTGTTCTTATCCATGTGAATTGTCAAAACCATAGTCACAAGACAAGGATAATGACAAATCCAAACTCATATGGACTGAACTCAATCTTAACTTCTTGCCACCTGGCAGCTCAAGGGCCTGCCATTGCTTCCAAGTTGTTGTGCAACACATTGAGAACTCTAAGAACTCATATGCAAAGCCAACTTTAACTGGAATGGGCACAAATATGTCAACACGATAGGTTATAAACCTCAAGTCGTGTGCTAGTGAAGAACTTTAGGTTTTATTCTTGATTAGTTCTTGAGACTTTCAAGACCTTTAAGACTCCCACTGTCCTCTTGACCTATAAGACTCCTTGTCAAACATCCAAGAGATAGTGGATTCTAATCAAGACAAACACTTCACACAATTGGCCTAAGTTGGTCTTTGTTTTATCCAAAACATCACAACTTACCAATTTCAAATGTACAAGAGTAGAAAACTTTTACTCTTACATTTGACTGTGTTTTAAACCTTCTTAAGACATGTCACTCAATTACAATCTTGGAGTATGACTCTAAGACTTGTATTGGAACGAAGTATGACTCATCTTCTTGATTTAACCATTTCAACAATTCAAGATCCCTTCTTCTTAGTCATAAGAATGCACTAAGACTTCCTTAGAGAACTAATTTTGATATGGTTTCTTAATCATTAAGATGATCACAAAACTGATACTAAAGTACTCTCCCATCTTTTCAGATTTGAGAAACTTTTATCCTTCTGCCTAATTTGATTCTTCTTATTCGCTCTGCCTTACATTGGAACCTTTTCCAATGTCTCAGAGTTACACTTAAGCTTGTAAGTATAATCATATTTACTGAGCTTTAGTAAACTATGACGAATAGCCTTATATCTTTTGTGGTGGACTTAATCAGTGCACATGACTATGTACTCGATCCCTTAGTCCATTACTTGACTCACACATCCATGTGAACAAGTAATTAGTCTTAATTTTTCCAATACTTGAAAGTTCTCATTCATCATGCTATACAACTTGCATGATTCCAAGTCCGGTCCAATTGAGACTTTGGATGATGAGAATCTTTCCTTATTTGGTAAATTTAGACATTACCACAAATGAAGGAATCAATTTCATATTTCCACTCTTGCTATTAATGGAATCATATAAGCAACAATTTTTCCTCAAATGCCATTGTAAGGATATTTTAAAATAAATAAAATCAAAAAATTTTTTTATTTTAAAACTATGCGGAAAAACTTATCCTTACAATCCATATGAAAACTTGTTGTTATCTATTCCTAAGCAATATCTCATAACTCCTAAGAAGTAGCTCAAGAATCCGATCTTCAAACTACGCGATAGAAATCCATCTACGCGATCAGATTCAACATATTCTTTCTTTAAGTTTCTTCACTTTTCTTTGATTCTTAAAACATCACCATGTGACCCAGTCACATCATGTATCAAGAATCTCAGAATAGAAACTTAACAGAGTTAGATAGTGGACTTTACCTGAAGTAGAGTCAAACTTATTGACTTTAACATCCTTAGGTAAATTTGGCAGCTTCGCAACTAATGCCCTTCCTTTGGCAATATAAACATATGGACCCTTTGATAATGGTACACAGGACTATTACAGACTTAGCTTTTCTCTTTACCATTTGGTAACCTAGTTGACTATGGTCAATCCCTTTTCCTTGGGAAGAGAATGCTTTTCTGTATTTCCAGTGTCACTTGTCAATGTCCATAAAGTTTCAGGAAGTTGATCTTAGCAAATAGATAAGATCATTAAGGGTCTTGTCATAGTCTGTTTCATAGGTGTTCCAAAAGAACTCACTATGTGACTTAGAAAGTAGTTGAACCACCAACTTTCTCAAGACTTTGACACCCAACTCTCCCGGCTTGTCAATATGTGACTACATCTCCAAGATGTGACACACCTAGACCTTCCTTGCCAATAGGGTTGAGTGACCTTAAACTTTTTAAGAACTTGTGGGTTGGGAGAATAATTGGAGGAGGTGAAAGAAGTATGATTTCCAAGGGACATCATCTTCATTTAGGAAAGCTTGTTTCAAGAGATTTGGGAAGATCATAAATGTCTAAACCAGACATGTTTGGGAGATATTCAAGATAGTTGATTTAAGTCCTTAATATGACACCCAATATGAAATATTAAGGCTAGGACCCAACAAAC